GTGTTTCCTGGAGCAGGGGAGCTTTTTCTCCTCTTTTTACAGCTTAGTATCAGCACTCTGTTTAAAAGAAAGTGATCCCCAATTCCTAAAGATGTTTCTACTCCTGTTCTCCATCAACCCTAAAGCCCAAAGTGATGAGTGGGTTAGCTCTACAGATAAAACTAAGCTGATTTCTTAACCTACAAAGACCTATGGTTTGTTTTGATCTTAGAATTTTGAACTTGTTTATGTGAGAGGTGTGTAGCTAGGAATGGAAACAGCTTCATCTCCTGGTATGGTTAAGGATTATCTCTGAAGCCAGTCTATACAGAAAAACTCACATGAGCTTAATTCAGTTGTAGAGAGCCAGCACAGGGAAATACAGCTACAGGATAATATGCTTGTGTAAAAGCATTTTGGAAATTCCATCAATGTCACAAAAAATAGGTGGTCTGAACATAATGCAAAAGCATTTGCAGGTTGTCCCTCAGACTTCTGAGACCCCTATATACTACATTCAGTCTCCAAGAAAAGATTTGCCACCACATGAGACGCAGGACACCTGGTCAAGTTCCGTAAGACTCTTCCAGTCACATAGTGTGTCTACAACTCCAGAAATTTCAAGTCACAAGAGCAATCCTTCCTATTTCTTTGTATTGCAAAGAAAATGAAAATCAGATTTACCATGGGTATTGCAGCTGCAAACTTAAATGTAGAGGTGTTGTTATTTCTCCATAGTAAATGTGAAATAAAAATCTCTCAGCTATTGGATATTGTCAAATTCTCTCACTCTACCTAGCAAGATTTGGGTGACATTCATTTATTTAATAATTAAAAGACTTCTTTATTCCATTTTCTACTGCAAATGACTAATTTATCCCTCTGGCAATTAGAAAGAGACTTTATTTTTTCTAAAAGTGCAAGGAAACTGATAGCAACAATTGTACGTGAATTTTCTGCTCTGCATTTGGAGGAATCAGTCAACAACAAGTTTGCAAATGTTATGCATAAAAACTTTCTACAGTTTTCATAAATGTTGACTGGGATCTTTAAATTATTCTTGAACAGTATAGCCTGGTTATTGTAATAAATTTGAAACCTATTTTTCTCCAAGTTTTAATTCTGTCCTCTGGTTTATAATCTTAATACATTCTGAATTTTGCATGCAATATGCAGCTGTGATGGCTAGGAAAATCATCACACCTTAGTGAAATGATCAAGAGCTCCACAGTATTCAGTCACAGATATGTGGCAAGTTGGTTAAAGCCGAAATAGCATGTTGTATGAAGAAAATAACTTCTCTTTTGTTTACCCCATTACTTTATCTCTCTTTTTTTGTTGTTTTGTTGGTGTTTTGTTTGTTCGTTTGTTTGTTTTAAAGGATTGCACACTCTTCATACCTTAGAGGAATATCCTGAATGTGAATGCGATAGCTCAGCAAGGTCAAGTTTTCCCTGAAACCTGCCAAATTGTGTTGAGCTGTTTGTTTATTGAGCAGCTTTAAAATCCTGACTAATTTGCTTTTCTAATAAAGAATTTACAGTTTGCCCTTACAAAGCATACCTTTAATACTAAGACATCTTTGAAATGTCTAGGAAAGTGCAGGAGATAAATTATCTGCCAACAAGAGTGAGGGGAATAAAATGAAGTAGCAGGAGGAAAGAAACAGAGGAAGCAAAGGAGGAAGAACTGAGGAAGGGAGCAGGGGCTGGAGAACAGCTTACTGTGCTAAGACTTGTTAAGCTCCATGGTGTGGTAGAGCTGAGAACAGACCTCTGCTCTCTGTCATGGCAGAGGCTGAATGAAAACACTGCTGGCAGAACCATGGTGTGGTTATCTTCTCCCAAAGGGGCAGGTCTGAAAAATACCCTGGCTTCCTCAGAGTCCTGGGTGACTTGTGGGGGGCAGCTCCTCTCTGTGAGCCTGGGCATTGGTCTCACCTGTGTGACAGGGTTACTCCTTTATGCTGCAGGGTCTGCTACTGTTTCTCTGTCATCAAGGAGAGATTATATAATTTTTATTTCTTCTTAACATTTCATATCTCATGGCTGTAGACTAAGCCAGAAATTTCAGCCTTTTTGGTTTGTGGATAGATGAATAAATTTCTGGGAAACACGAGGGCCCTGTTCAAGGACACTGAGTGAGCTGGTGATAGGCTGCCTCTTCTTAGCTCCTTTCCTAGAACCCTCTAGAAATAATCCCTGGACCTCCAAAGGAGTTGTAGAACAAAGACTGTAAAGCCAACATGTAGGTTTTGAGGTGAAGACTTTTGGGGGTTTATAACAAAAAGCTTGGCAAAAAGGAGCCCGAATATCTGGTTGAAGGTGAGAGGTCATTGCTGTGCAGCCTGTAAATAAACACTGCTAAAGCAAGTAGGAGGAAGGCACAGAAAAGAGGGTAGAAGCAGAGAGGAACAAACCATTCTAAAAAAAAGCGAAAAGCAAAATGCTGCTTTTTACTTAGGGAGTCTGAGTTTGTTATTCTCCCAGTTCCATCAACAGAGAGAGCTGCCAGCTCAGTTGGCAACAAAAGAAATATGCTCTAATGAGCAAAATAGTAAAGGAGCAATCCCTGTTGCCTCTTCCTGGGGTTCTCATTGCTGTGGGAGAAGATTCACAGGCTTAGATTGAAGGAGTTTCTCTCAGGAAGCAGCTGCTGCTCCCAGGTTTGCTAGTAGGATGATCTTCTGACATCTGACCCTAAGGCTCACCCTCAGTTGTTTCCAGGGGGCTGTCTGGATAATCACCCAGATGGTGTGTTCCCTTGGGACATCCATGGGTTGCATGCTCCCTGGGGAGGTATCCAGGGAACTGATTATTTTCTGGTGCTGATCACAATTCTGATCAGATCCCAAAACCAGAAGAAAAGTCTATCACCATAATTTGAATTCAAGCTGTGTGAGCAGCTAAATCTCTGAGTGCTGTAAGGAATGTGCAGTTTTGAAGTCCTATGTCCAAAGCTGGTAGTTAGTAATGACACAAAACAATAATTAAAAGGGGGAAAAAATGTTTGCAGAGCTTAATTAGATGACAACAGAAAGTATAGCTAGCCTGTTTTCCCTTCCCCCTCAGGTATTTTACCAAGTGGAAGAAAATCAGTCATCTACAGATGTACAGATTTAAGATCTGGATTCAATTTTTATTCCGAATAACAGAAATAAAACCGCATTTGCAATAACTGAAATTCCATTCTATGCTATCAGGAAGTCTTGGCTCAGGAGGGTCAGACCAAAACCATGTCACTCTGTATCAGCCTTATTTCTTATCCTTTCTTTGCCCCTGGTCGCTGTAATGGACAGGATAGTGGGCTGTGTGGACCTTTGAGTCTCACACAGAAGGGCTCCCACGTTATCACAGAATATTTTTGGGTTGGAATGGACCTTAAAGGCCATCTAGTTCCAACCCCCTGCCATGGGCAGGGACACCTTCCACTAGACCATGTTGCTCCATTCAAACTGGCCTTGGACACTCCCAGGGATGGGGCCTCCACAGCTTCTCTGGGAAACCTGTGGCAGTGCCTCACTGCCCTGACAGTGAAGAATTTCTTCCTAATGTCTGTCTAAGCCTACTGTCAGTTTAAAACCATTATGTTCTTGAAATTAATTTCCTCTTCATCTGGCATGATGGAAAACAACCCTGTTTGCTTCAAATGACCTAGTTATTAATCCCAGGGAAGCGAGGGACAGTATGTTCTGATTTCTAGAACCACCAACACCCTTCACATAGGAAAACAGACCCTGCTGAAACTAAACCTACATTAATTCCATTAACGGACCTTCTATGCAAAGCACAAACAGTTTCTCAGAAAGGCAAAATGCTGCCTGCCAGATTGCACCACGTTCCCACTCATGATGACCTGACCAACAGGATACTAAGGAGGATTAAATGTTTTCCTCTCCAACAGAATACTTCCAAACTGGATAGACAGCTCTCAGTAATTACAGGCTATAGCGTATTAGCCCCGGAGGTGAGGATTGCAGTGCTTCACAGTGGATTATTTGCTCAGAAACTCAACCATTTGCTGAAAGCACTCTACTGCAGCACTTCGTGACAGCCTGAATCAGTCCCTTAATCTCTTAACTCAGTACAAGAACTTAGTCCAAATGACATTAGTAAAGAGCATAAAATTGTTAAATATACGGACTCTGATTTACTTTTCATTGAGAATCTATCTGGGTCTGTAGCTGCTCTGCAAACATATCTTCATTAATGTTTGCACTCTGGGCTCAAGTTCCAGTTGCTCTGATTGGAAACACTGGTCTCCTGGGTTTTGAACACTTCTCTTTTCATAGCAGTGTTCAATCACTGAAATCAAACATTAACTTGAATGTGAAACTCCTATAACAGAGAGGAGACTCCAATGAGTCACAAAACTAACCTTCCTTCCTCCCTTCCTCCCTTCCTCCCTTCCTCCCTTCCTCCCTTCCTCCCTTCCTCCCTCCCTATGGCCTATGCATCAAATGCCTGTTTTTTTCCTGAGTGGAAACAGACTTATTTCTAAAAATAATAATAAAAAAAACAAAAACCAAAGCACTCACAAAACCTTGAACACATAAAGCCTGAAAATATGCCCCAAACTGAATTGCCTTAGGCAGGAACATTAATAAATCTAAATATCAAGCTGGATTTTTCTTAAAGCCATCATGGTTGCTGAGGTTGTCGAGACAGTAATATCTGGGAATGTAATTTTGTGGACATTAGTATGATATAGACAGTCTCATTTCTATTCTCTCAAATGAAGCCACCAAAGGGATGAAGAAACAACCCATTTCACTGCTCATCCATCTGCAGGCCTCTTAAAGCACAGTACACAGATTAAGCTCCAGTGCTCAGCTCTCCAGACTTTCCCTTGCAAATATTATGTGAAACAAAGGTTATGTAAGCATTTATCTGTGGACCCTCTTGCTACTGAAATGGGCCATAAATAACTAGCCAAGCTGGATCACAGGGAGCTGGACAGATCCTGACCTCCTGTTACATCACGGCAGGGTTGTCACTGCCCTCTCTTCCCTACAGACTCCCTGCAGTATCACTGGAAAGATGCAGCCCCAGTGAAGCACAAGTGGAAGTCCCATAGTGAGTTCTGCTCCCTGTAGCTTTACTCCCTGATTTTCCCCATATGCCTGATGTTGGAGGTGGTTTGAGGAATGGAAGAAACAGTCTAACATTTTCTGTAGCCTTCATCGTCTAGGTACAGAACATGAATACACGGCACAGCTGCACTTTGAAAAAAATATTCTCTATGTTTGATCATTAAAGCAGCAAAAGGAACAGTTTCACTGTGGTCATATGACACATGTACAAGTTTTGCATTGGTAACTACTCCAGCTTGCAAGTAATGCTTAAAATATATTTTGTTGTTGTCACTACCAGCATGTCCTGGCAGGTCCAGATCGCTTCAGCCCCTTTGTGCCTTCATCAGCATTACCTATTATTTATTCAGCCCCTGTGTCCATCATCAGCATTATCTATCTCAGCACAAGAGGTCTCAAACACTCCTATTACATCCAGTTTTTTTGTCCAGTTAGGCCTGATGGATGTGACTTTGTCTCCAAGCACTTCAGTGTGCTGTAGAAACAACCATGCAGTCTTTGTAGATTAAACAGAGAGAGGAAATAACTTCCAGGATATTAAACTTCTGTTTAATAAACTTCCTTCTGTCCTTTGGACTGATGATTTCCTGAGGTTGGACAGCTTCTGCATGTCAGACCAACAGTGGTGCTAAACATCTTTAGTAGCCTGGCTGTGGTGGAGGGCATTGCCTTGGAGCTGATGTGCAAGGCTGGAGGCTTATTGCTATAATAGGTAACATACTCAGTATTCTTTTGTTCAATATTTTGTCTTTCTAATGACCTAAATGCAGTTGTTCCTTGTGGAAAACCATATCATAAGCAGCGAATTTGGATTTTACCACTAATAAAGCCAAAAGTGGATTTCAGTACAGTTTCTGTTTTTAATGAATGTTTTTTGCATTTGAATCATCTGTTTTTAAGGGACATGCTCAAATACCAGTCAATTATATATTTTTTTTTTTCTAGCTATTTATTGTTGTTTTCGGTGATGCATAATTTTTAATATGCTGAGCAACAGCGTCCTGAAAGTTGAGTCAGCTTTATTGAAAGACCAGATGAAATTGTTCAGACTGAAACTTTATGGTTTTTTACAACCAACAATAGTAATTACCATATTGAAAGTATTATAGTACAAAATAGATTGTGTTATGAGAAATGAGGCCAGATGGAACTCCAGCTGTCTCCTTGAAAAAGAAAACATTAGAATCCAATTAAAATATAGTTTGGATTACGTTACAGAAAAAAGTTTTGCAATAATTCATTTCAGACCTATACAACTACTATCAGTTTTAATTTACAGCTTAACTCTTCAAGTTATCTTTGTGCTTGGTCTCAAGAACATCTTTCTCTGTCTGAGCTGTTCCTAATTGCTTTCAACTACAGTGGCAGGGTTAAAGTCCTTGCTAGTTCATTGCTGGATCATGACTGCAGGTTTCTGTGTGTCCACACAGTAGCACAGTGGAAGATACAACACTCTTCACATGATCTTGGACATAAAGGCGTCAGCTTCTTGCTCAGTGTTGGATCTCATGGAGTCAAACACTTTTCTGAGGGACATTTTCCATTGAAAACTCCGATTCAATAATGTGAAAAATTTTCTGCAGAAACAGGTAGTTTTCAAATTAATTTCCTGATTTCCAAATGGCCTAAAATGTTATTATTGTATCCTATTTTATGCATGTACTGCAATAAAAACGGAAATGAATAATTTCTAATTTGATCAACCTAAATAGCTTTGCTTCATCCAAAGCTCCATTTTTAGAACATATTTGCCTTGAAATTTTAGATCTTCATACATCCTTCCAACTGAAACCTAAGATGGACTTTAGAAATCTCAAAAAAATCTTCACTTCTCCCTAGCATCTTTGAAGACAAACTGGTTATCTGAAGATATATCTCATATTTTTCCCATGGCAAATCTCTCCTTGGGTTTACAGTTGCCCTTGTTCTTGTACCAGTGAAGCACAGATACACTGTCCAGTTTAATTATCTGAGGATTTATGCACTGGGTTAAAATGTTCAAGCCTGGCTGTTTATAGAAAGAGACACGTAAACCCACACTTAGCACTTAAGTAGGTGGCCTCATTTTCTGAAGTACTAACTATTTATCCAGGGGCCATGTTTATTTAATGTCAGGCTCTCAAGTGCAGTGTTCCAGCCTTATCTCTTTGAATTTCATGATGTTAGAAGAAACAGACTACCACACTTTTTATGCTAAATATACATGGAAATTATCCTGAGAACTATATTGTACACAAAATAGAGGAAAAGACAGAAACAAACCCACCACATAGGGTTTTTTTAATGTGTTCATTCTTCTTGGGCTGTCTCCTTGCTCCAGACAGAGAAACACAGAATGTGATGCTCTTTGATTGATCATTGTTTCTGATCACTGAAAGAAATGCAGAATTTGCTATCAACTTCACACAGACAACATGAAAAATGAATGGAAAGACAGAATGGTTGAAGGAGGGCTATACATATTATTACCAAGCACAAGGTTGTGCAAAATACTGCAAACATGAGAATTTTGCAGAAAAATCTAAACAATCCTCTTCAGTCAAGGCTGCAGTCTTGAAATTGCATATCCTGTGGGAAATCCCACTTTTAGATAAGTCAGTTTTGATTTATTGAATTTTTGATAATGATGATTGCTGGTATTATTATTTACCATGAAAATTATGATGCTATCAAACTGGCAGTACAAGTAGCAAGCATTCTTACAAAAAAATCCTTTCTAACTATATTGTAAGGCTTAATTCCTTAATGCCTTTGACGCTTGATTGAAAGATGCCACGCAGCTGATTATTATGAACAGTTGACAGTCATACTTTGTTTTCCTGTGGTTCTAATGAAATGGGAGGCATTTTCTTCCTACAAAAAAAACAACCCAGACCAATCCAAAGCAAAACAAAAAAAGTTTTAACATTTCTTAGTAGTTAATATGCAGCTAAAAACAGCAGTGCTTACAGTAGTAAAAAAACCTGCTGAGGTTTGAAGCCATGGAAAACTTACACGATGACATTTAGGTGACTGCCTTTTGTAGCTGCCATTAACAGTTTTTTGCAAGGGAAGAAGACAGAGAAAAGGCAAAAGGTGTTGTTGAAAAGGGAATGTGTCAGTAGGGGCTGACACAGGGCTTAATGTCACAGAGCTGTCTAACTCTCTTTGTCATCTACCACATCTGTTGTGGGTGAGTATGAAAACTCTTCTACTCAGAGATTATTAGAAGCAACCACCCATTACCATGCCATCACCTCTCATCTCATTACTGCTTTGTGTTTCTGCTGTAGCACCACTCCTACATAGGGTTTTCCTTCAGGTTCCTGGGCAGACAAAGGAACAAGCAGAATATTGATTTTGGCAACTTAGCTCTGCTGAAGCTGAAAAATTCAGGAATCCATTCAGAAAGGTATAAGAATATGATGTAGTATACCATCTTGGTATTTTCCCTGGCTACTCCTGCTGCTGTTGCCTGTCTGTGTCTCTCACCAAAGAAAGAAAAAAAGTTAAAAAAAAAAAAATGAAAAAAAGATATTTTTGAAGTCGATGTCACAGACAAGCAAAATATAATACATGAAAAGGCCAAATTTGCTAGGAGGTGCCAAGAACAAGGGCAAGCAGATGAAGCTTTTATTACTGCAGATCACAGTTTTGCTGAACATTGCACATACTGAATGTTAAAAGAAGAATTAATAAGAGGCAGAATAATTTTTGGCAAAAGAGACAACCAGTTCATCAGCAGAACTTACACTCAGGCCCAGATCACTCGCTAACAGAGGCTCGAGCAAAAGTGATGCTGACCTACATACAGGCAGCACAGAGGAGATTGCAGCAGACCAGGGAAGAATAGGCACACAAACATGAAAAGAGCAGCTGCAAGAGCTTTTAATACCAGTAGTACTGCTCAGTGAGTGAGGGGAAAAGCTAAGAGAATAGCTAAGAAACTTTAACAGCAGACAAGATGGAAAAGCTGTGGGACCCATGGCAAAGAACTACGCCCTGTGGGCCATGAAATCCCCGTGAAGACTCAGAATGTAAGAGATGCCACAAGGGATATATTCTCAGAGCAGATAGGGTAGCAGGGAAATGATCACTAAGCCCTGTTTCTATTCTGCAAGCTGAAAGTACTTCCTTAGAAATGCACATTGAATTATCAAAATTTTGCATTTGATATGGGAATATTTGGCAGCAGTCCCTACAGGTCCATGAAAAGATAAGAGCAATAGGGTTTGAGATGGAGGTAGGGGAAGACCACACAGGAAATCGAGTGTGGCTTACAACACTGCAGAATACATTCTCAGCCACTTTTCTGGGAGCCTCGGAAAAGGATGAAAAGCTCTTCCACAAATTATTTTGTGGCGCTGAGTCTTGCATTGTGCCTAGAAGAAATACTCACTTGGCATCCATCTGGTGTATTTTTACCCCTTGGAAACCGTGAAGTGAAACTATGTTAAAATTTGACAACAAATCTTCATTCAAAGGCTCTTGACTTTCCCTTTTACCCTGCAAATGCATAAAAAAGTTTAACCGAAGATTTAGTCTTTTCCACAAGTTTGCATCTTGATAAGGAATGATAACATATGGCTGGAAATGTGACAGTCATCTGACCCTCTCAAAACATGTCTCATTGCCCTTTATTAACCAGGCTGGTTTTAGGGAGCTGGGTAAATTTTTAAATCAGTAGATTGTTAGGAAGAAATTTGTTTTTCCAGGTTCAGTAGACTGATTTTTTTTGCACTGTATTTTACCACAGGCTAAAGAACCTCTTCATGAGCTGAAATGGAAATAAATTGGACTGGTCAGAACATGAGCAAAGATCAGAAATAGGCCTAAGAGCAAAGTAAACACATAATTGAAAAACTGAATGTAAAAAATACTGCTGTGGGTTTCTAGTCTGTATGTAAATTATATATATTACATGCATTTATCACCCATTTGCCTGGTCCCTGGCTTTGGTTAGTGTTGTGTTTAAGATTATGGTCTGGACAGAGAAACAATGAGTATTGTCATTTACTACTTTGACTGCTGTTAATCACCAGTGACACCAATACTGGGTCCATTCCTATTGTTTTACAGACTCCATTTTCTAGTCTTCCCATGGTCAGAAGGATTGACCAGAAGCCTGGGCCTGCAGTGTGGGTGTGAAAGAGCACTCTGGAGGCTGTGCAGAACCACTGCCAGGCACAGAGGGATAGAATTTTCCTTTCCTGTACTGGGAACACACAGTTCTTGTGCTGGGGAGAAGGGGCAAGCCTCTCCCTGCCAGCAGACCTTTCAGCTGTGGGAAATGCTGTTTTACCTGGTTGTGCTGATGGTGAACTCCCCACCATGGTCACAAGGGCTTGCAAGCTGAGAGAGCAGAGCACACTTAATTTGTCTTGTGTACAATTTGTTAGGTGTTGTAACTGAAGGGAATCAATTCTGATTGTGGTCATTTAGCAAACCCTCTGGAACTCTGGTCTAGAAAGCATTCCAGAGAACCAAGCTCAAACTGCCACGGCACATAACAGCTACTGGGAGCTCACAGATTATTTTTTTTCTGCAATACACTTGGACTTAAAAAATAGAAAAAAAAAAAGGTTTTTATATTGGAAAAAACCCCACACAACCAAATCCACTTTCCAGATGCTTGAATGTTGTTGAAAACACTGGTGTTTGAATTACTTTCATAATGAAATGAGTTTGTTTTGTCAACCTTTGTGCATTGTATTCATTGAGAGTATGTGTGGAAAGATTCTTTTCTAAAGAGCTTGAGTGTGTTGGTCATTCAATTATAGTAGCAAAGGGTTAGAAATGTCAGAGGAAAACAGTATTGGTAAATTAATACAAAATATATTTTATGGTCATACCTAGCCATTAAGTATGTTTTAAAAAGATTTTGTGTCAGTATTTGCAAATATTTTAATGTTATCATTAGTGCATGGTGCTCCACAGACCATTAGCCCAACAAAAATCAAAGGTCTAGCAAAAAATTACAGCTAAAATATACAGCAAGATGGTGAAACAGAGTACCATAAACAGGCAAATGATAGAAAGAAAGTCACTAAACTAGCTGCATTTATGTGGTTTGAAATAAAAATTACTTTTAAGAAAAACAGGATGCATCCTAGAGATTGAAGGAGTTTATATTTATCATTGTGGTTGGCAATGCTTTTTCAGGGAATGCTCCTGTAACTGCAGAAGATTCTCAAAGGAATAATTCTAAATGTGATGTCAGAAGAATACAAAATGTACTAATTGCAAACTTAGGTAATGATAATGTTAAAAAAAAAGGAGAAGAATTGGATTTTGAAGGGATTGTGCTTGTAAGTAAGTGAACTTCCTAGGAAGCTAATGTTGCTGCTTTATTTATTTATGTTTTCTAACCGAATGACATTATGTTTAAAATAAACTTTCTCTTTTTTTCTTCCAAAGGGGTTCATAATTTAACAAATATCTTTTGTTCTGTTTGTTTTCCAGTTCTGACCCTGACTACTCAATATAACAAGACTTTGAAGGTTTGCATGGTGGTAAACCTAATTGCTAAGTTGCAATGCAAGGTTTTCATGCTGTGGAATCTCTTCCAGGGAACATACAATTTGTCAAAATTAAAGAGCACTATAATGTGAATCTCACTTGTGTGATTGTTCAATTTTAAACAGTTTGGGCTCAGCAGGTCCTTTCAACAGATTTTTCCATATCTAATTCTGCTGCTTGGAGCATGCTGTATGGAAAATCTCTTGAAATTGAAACAAACTATTAGAGTGTTGGAGAATGCTTCAGTGCAACTAAGAAATTTCAAGATGGTAATACTGTTTATTGCTTGCAGTAGAATATTGCCTAGAGATCTTGACACAGTAAGGAGTGGCAATGCATGAAGACTTCTTCAAGGCCAAACTAGAAAGTTTGTCTCTCAAAAATCTTACAATCTAAAATGTGTATTAAAAAGAGAAAAAAAAAAATACTTTTTACTTTTTTTTTTTATTTAAAAAATCCCATTGATTTATGGGAATCAAGGCAAGCAAAGAAACAAGATAAATATATTTTAAAATACTGGACATGCAGTGATGATTTATTTCATGTGTTTAAGGTCAAATATAAGGAGCAGTTGCAAGTTACACAGGGTAGAACACATGACTTCTCTTAGCCAGCCCTCTGCTGCCCCGATTGCCTTCCCCAGCCTCCCAACAGGGGATTGGTGTCTTCTTGTTTCACTGCTCCTGGAGTGGTTTCCGCCAAAATAACCTGACCTACCTTAAGCACCGCTGTACACGTTTATAAAACACATATTTCCGACGGGATGAGATGATGAAGCAGCTGTAGGTGCAGTTATCCTGCTGTAAGGAGAGGAGAGGGCTGATGAGCAGTTCGAGACTGGCTGAGAGCAGTGCTCTTTCCAGATACCTGCAGCCAAAGCAGCATGTCTGGCCTGTACCTAACACCCATGAGCATGGGCTGGCTCTCAAGGCAAGCAGGAGCTGGAGTAGGCATCCAGAAAATGGGAAGCCAGGTTGATGGGTGAAGGAGACCAAGTATAAATACTCCTAAGTGGACTTCAAGAGCATTCATATATTGCTAAGTAAAATAGTGAGATGAAAAATAAATAATACTGAAAATAAAGTGTGCAAGAGCAGAGACCAGTTTGAGAAGGGTTGTTAGCAACAAAACCCCCACTGGAAGTACCCAGAGGCTGAGTAGAATATGCATGAGCTGCAAATATGGTATGCAGAATGTGTCCTGGAGTTCAAGTCCTGATTTGATATTCCTTCCAATTCCTCAGATACAGGATGATTAGGATGCTTTTTCCATTCAAAATGGATGTAAGCATTGCTCTGGAAGCCAAATTCAGTCTCCAAAGCAGGGAACTGTCTGCATTTTCTTCTTCCAGACTAACTGTACTTCTCAGTGACTTAAGCCTGCATCTCTTTTTTAGCCTAGTGAATCCAATTTTGTAATCCTCTTGGTACTTTCTTACCTTTCCGTGTGTCAATGCTCTTCTGTTTAAGGAGAAAAGCATTATGCACATTATGCCTTTGGGTTTAATCTTGTGAAATGTTTTTGATGAGAAATACCTTGTCTGTCTTCTCCACTCCCTCCTTCCCTGATTTTGCCTACTGATCCTCTGCATTTTATTTCCCAGATGTTTCAACCTGCAGAGCAGGAGTTCTTGAAAGCAGACTTATTGAGAGATCAGTTATCACTGCTTGAAAATGCCTGCTGAGGTGTTTGACACCCAGCTACTATCCCCAGAGTGGCTGGCTGCTCCATTGTGATGCTCTAAAAATGGGCGGTAATGAAGCAGATTCTCAGAGCCGGAGCGCTCGGCAGATCTTGCTGCTCTCAGTCTCCCAAGCTGAATGCTCCTGAGTCAGAGATGCCTGCAGTCAGGAGTCATTTCCATGAAGCTTCTCAACATCACAGTGTCCTCCACTAGATTCCTAGATCAAATGCTCTTATTTAACTAGACTGAAGGAAAGAAAATTATTCTTTATAATGCATATGCAAAAAAATATGGAAGAGGAATAAGAAGCATAAACAGTTCTTCCATTAGTCTCCCTCCCCAAACCCATGCACACAAAATGAATAGCAAAGATAGCCAGAGAAGACTCACAAACTCTTTCCTTTTACAGCTCTTCTAAGGCAGAAATAAGGAAGCTTTTGTCATCGCTGTCATCCAGCTCTTTAACATTTTGGTCCTGCCAGCAATTATAAATTTATTCATAGCCTAGAATATCTTGTCCAAAATTCAAACTCATAGTGAATGATTTATCCGAAAGCCTCTATTAAACAATTTTTTCAAAAACAAAACAATTCTTAAGACTTTAATTAAATAGAACCGTGATTAAATTAGAAAAAAGAATCTAATTTCCTTTGCATGAGATGAGGTGGCACTTGGAAAGTGTAACTCAGCATTGCTTCATGTGAGCATTGCTCAGGGTACATGCAGAGCATCGGAGTGAGGATATTAAATACAATCAGGAGGCCTCACAGTATTTTACGGATAAAGAATCAAATTTAAACATAAAAGCGGTAATTAAACTGGGATTTCATCTGAGTATTATGCATTATAGCAATCTGATAATTGCAAAAGCATTTAAGGAAACTAATATACTTTTAGCTTAAAAAAAAGTCTTTCTGATACACTGCAAAGTGATATGTTATTCATCCTTTTTATTCTTCATGCTTTTCAATACTTTCTTTAGAAATTAAAAAAATCCACTAATACAGTTTCTGGACACTTAGGGATATATTATTTAGTGCCTACTATGGATGTGTTATTTAATCCCTCAAATTAGTTCTTCCTATGGTCTGTATCAAGATTTGGTGCTCCTGGATAAAACTAGGTTAAAAGGTTGATTGAACTATAAAAGTAGGGTTCATATCCAGTCTCTAGCCTAGAGCATGGTTTGAGCATCATTTTCTGGCCAGACTTGTACTGCAGAATTGGTCCTGTCTAATGTGTTTTCCCATACAGTGTGTTATTCAAACTATACCAGTATTTTGGGTCAAATCTAAGCAATTTTTTTCTTCCTTTCTTTCTTCACTGAAATTAAAAACTAATGTAGGTGAATAACATCTTGTGTTTAATCAAATTACTTGTCTTTCTTTCAGATAAATATTTAATTTTATTTAGTATTTCCTCTGTTACCTTTTTTTTTTACTACTCTGCCTGGGGAGTTTTTAGGCTTAATCATGAGGATGTTACATTTGGAGTACCTGAGGAAAAATAATTTTGCACATTTGTTTGTTTTGATTTTCTTAGTCACAGCTATTCAAGATTGCATTTGTCCAGATCTAGTCTCAAGTTCATTGTCTCTTGTAGCTTCTAAAGACTAAAGAGTTGGAATTTTCAGTGAGGTCTTCAGTATCTGTTATATCAAAAAACAAAGGCACACAAAATGAAAGTGGTTGCAGAAATGAGCTGAAGAGGATTCCTCTAGCTGAGCCTTGCCAATTTCAGTGACATCCACTGTGTCCAAGTTGGTAGTCTACACATTTTTCAAGAGCTGGACAATATGGTCTTCTGGCAGTCACAAGAGCATAGCTTTTTTCAGACACCTCTGATATGATGTTTGCAGACTCTCTACTTGGGTCCCTTTCAATGTAAAATGCAGGCACAAATATATTTAACTTCATAAATCACACGTGTTCTGATATAAAGCCCATTTCAAAAATTTCAATTTATTAATTTCACTAAAACCTATTAAAATCTTTAGGTATAAGGTATCATCTATTCTCTATCCTATTATTAGTTTTGATGCTTGAATTAAATATCTAGAAGATATTTAATCCAAGCCTTAAAGAGGTGGAAAATAAGACGAAATAATTTTTCACTGAGCCCTCATAACCACATTTGCCTGTTTGTGAAAGTCAGGTTAAGAACCCAGGCTTTTCAAGGCAGTATGCACCCAGGGGAAAACCTTTCATTCAGCAGATTTTCAGAGACAAGTCTTTGTATTTAAACTTTTTCTTCTCTGAATTTGTCTCTAGTACCTTCATCTCTTTATCCGGACTTCCAAGGTTGCTCCTTAAGTACAATTCCACAGATTTTTTCCAGCAGCTGCCCCTGACATTCATAGATGGAAAGACAATTAATTAAGCACACACGGTGGTAGGCAGAAGTCATGTTAAGGGATTAATTGTAGCCTGTGGGCTGCAACTGGAGTGTGAGCAGGTGGGTGCATCCCCTGGCTGGTGAGTGGACAGACAAACAAGGACAAACAGATCGAGCATCCTGCTTTGGCTGTGCTGCTGCTTGTTTCCGGCCCAACAGCTTCCACAATTTCACAGCACCTTTCCTTCACCATGTCTCCTCACACACGTGAAAATCCTCTTCTTTCACACCTGAATGCATTGCACTTAAGACTTCCTGGATGCTTTTTTACCTTTAAAAGTTTGAAAGTTCCTTCTGCCTTTTCTTTGCCTCCCTTGCCTGGTAGCAGATGTTTTTGAATGTGCAAGAGACTACCTGCAGGGATCAGGTTCATTTTGTATTTAATGGAATAAAGAGGCGAGTTACAAATTCGGCGCTGTTCTTGTACTGCATTAAACAGTGAAACGAAGCTTGGGGTTTGAGAACAGGAATATCAGTCCTTGAGCAGCTCTGAAGTACTGTAAATCCTTTATTACAGATGCAGGAAAGAATAAAAAGATTAATTCCTTTGATGCTTTATGGACCTCTTACAAACAGTTTTCGTTTTTTACCTTCAGCTCAAGGAAATTTTGTAAGGAAAAATGTTCTTATTTGGCAGTCTTTTTTTACATCACTAAGGCTAGAAATAACTAGATTTTTCAGAGAAAAGTCCAAAGGCTAACTAAAATGTGCTGATTTTGCTGTAAGTCACCCTTCAAGACAAAGAGGGCAAACATCCACAAAAGGGCAAGGAAGAGTTATAAGATAAGGCAATTTTCTGCCCTCCTGCTGTTACTATAATTTTGCTGTTGGAGAAATAGAGGGTTTGCACCTCCTTTTTCTTGTACCTCATGCTAAGTTCTTGTTCAACTGCTTAGCCACTGCTTTTCACTTCCTTGCCACTCCTAGGCTCTCAACAGTTTTGCAGAAGGTGCAATGTTAGATGGCTAAGGCATCGTTCTTCATTTTTGTTCCAACAC